GACCACCACTTACCGCTAAATCCATCTATAGGAAAACCGCGGAAGCAAAGTTGTACACCTAATATATGTATGGTTAATTTGACTTACTTTAGTATATCAACTACATCAATGAAGTTGCGCGTGATCTGGTTATGGCAACCAGAAATTAATAAGGGGATCATTTTGCATAGACGAGCTAAATATCGATATAGTTGCATTAATCAATGCTATATTGCAAAGCAGCGATGTTAGAAAACAAAAGCAATTTACTACGCGCACAGCTAGAGATGTATACATGTGAAAACTGGTTCTGAGTGTATAAATATACATTTGTAGTTGCCGCGTAATGAGCCGCGTTTGTATTAACCATGTATTATCACTGCTGCAATATAAGTAACTCAGCCATTGCTCTTTGGTTACAGCAACCACATAAATAGTTTTTCCATATTTTATTATTGAATCTGGTTGGCATAACTAGATTTCTGTATGGATCAACCATATTGTTTTTTCCGTGTGTGGTTATTTGCAAAATCGTAAAAGACTTTTGTTCAATGTATCTACAAGCACGCGACGGCAGACGTCGCCATCACAATTCATCTACCGTGTGATCATTCATGAATCTTCTTTGATTAATAACTCAACATTTTACGTGATTTTTTGAGAAATGGTAAAGGATCCTGCTTGATGAAGCGGAACGATCTGAAAGCGGACTGAAATGCCCACGAAACGTCGGAATCAAACAAAGAACCCAGACAACATAATGTCTAAAATCGGGACATAAGACGTCTTAAAGATAATCTTTAAGACACCTTAAAGACATTTATACGTAAATCATCCGAAAGACATCTTTAAGACGTCTTATGTCCCGATTTTCGACATTATGTTGTCTGCGAAGAATCCGCGCGGCTCAAACTCGGAAACCAAATCTAATATAAAATAGTAGAGGAATTCTTTGGTCAGCTTGATTTAATGTACATCCTCACGAGCGGCGCACCCTATACGTGAGAATATTATTCTAAATATTGATTACATAATTAAGTACGTAATTACTTGGCGAACTGTTCGGGCACGATGTTCAGCAGGCAATAGCCGGCGTCTCCGTAGACGTTCCTGGACAGGCTGGTGTAGATCGGTGCCAGCATCGCGCCGGCGACCGGTTGCGGCTGTTGCTGCTGCTCGCCGGCGCCGTTGTCGACGATCGTCGTCTGCGGGGGCCGCGGTGGTCGAAAAGCCGAGACGCGGCCGCTCGACGACATCGGCTCGATGCCCAGATTGTCGCTCGCGAAGTACTCGATCGCCTTCAGCAGGTCCTGCCCGCAACGTTGCAGCACCAGTTGCAGGACCGAGAGCTTAGTGTTCGGGAAGAGGCGAGCCAGAGTCTCCACCGAGGTCTGCGACACCGAGGTGGGCTCCTTGGAGTCTTCCAGTTTGTTGGCGGGCGCGTCGAAGAGGAGACTTCTGGATCTCGAGTGGATTTCCGGACCATCCTGGGGTCGAAGAAACGTCAGTGAGAAGTCAGGAATTTCCTACGGTATTCAGATAGACATGCTTCCGCATATTATTTGTCTAGTGATTGCCACAAGTGCGCAAAGATGCCGTCCTCATACAAGAATTTTCCTAGTTTATAAAACAAATCATCTGATGTGAAAATTACGGCGATATTCTGATGCCATGGAAATTGCTGTTTATATTGCCGGAAAGAGCGCACAATTAATTCAATATTATTGTACTAATAAAAAGTAGATATTTTGGTTAAAATTGTGACGTAATACATATTAGGTGCGTAAATTAATTCGCTGCTTTTACCTTTAATCGATCATGACTTTGTTTTAAATTCAAATATCTTCTTACCGTTTAATGGGTTTTAAAGTGTTAATCTTAAAATTTAAAATGCGCTAGCTTGCTGATAACATAACTTCATAAAACAGTATCAAATACGATGGCATCCGACAAGCAGCATATCAGACACTGTATTCTTTTTTTTTTTATTTGAAGAAGTGCTGTCGGGATTGCAAATATGATTTGCTCTGGAGGAAGGCGCTGTAAGACGTAAAGTCTGTAAAAAGTGGTACGAGAAGTTCCGGAGTGGTGATATCTGTCTCACCGATGAAGAACATCCCGGAGCGCCGAAAAATTTGGAGACGAGGAAGAATTTTTGAACAACTGTTGAGTGAAAATTTTGCTCAACTCAAGATGAGCTTGCGTTACAATTAGAAGCAATCTGGCAATCAGTTTCTGTTTGCTTACATAAGCAAACTGGGAAATATTCGAAAACTAGGCCGATGGATTCCGCACAAACTTAGCCCGCAGAGCAAGCAGAGGAGATCCAACACGACCATATCCTTGCTAGCAAGATATAAAATGAAGGATTTTTTATGCAAAATCATTAGAAGAAAGTAACCAAAAGCGAGATAGGCCTCCTAAAGCGACATACTTCTATATCTCACATATTAAATGTTGTATTTTATCGAAACTAAACGTAATTTAATAAACGTAATTTAATTCGTTTTATCAGTTAAGTCACGAAAAATTCATACTTGGTGTATTTCTTGTTATTTTATATGTTAAATTAGCAAATATCAAGTTTTAGAAATTCGCAAGTTTTATTTCTATGATTTTCATTGACGAATTACGTAGATTAAACAGCGATAATTATCTTTTTGTTCAATATTAAATTCTTCTACATACATTTGGCTTTTGTAAAAATATTTTTTGAATATTTTTGTCTTCATCACTTTTTTACTGTATAACTTGAAAAATTTTATGAAAAATTGTATCTTAAAGTGACATACCTACAGTATGCAATAGGTGTGATACTCTGTGAATAACATAATCTGATTCTAACCTCCCATTGTGACGTGACATTTGTTTATTTTAAAGTTTAATTTTGTTTACTTTAAAAATATAAAATATATAAAATATGTGAGAGATGAAAAAGATAGAAATGCCAAAGATATATTTTTGTTTAATTTTATTTAAGATGAAAGTGCTGTTATTATTTAATTATATTTCCTTAGATATGTTATTATTTAATTATATTTCCTTTTTGCAACATTATACTTTAAATAAATTAATATTATTCAACCATTAAACGCATTAATGAACGATTTATTATCAAATATTATCATATATGCAATATAACTTTTAATAGATATGTCGCTTTTGGCGACATTTGCTTTGAACTTCATTTTCGTGCGTTTTATAAAAACATTTTTTGTTCTAAATCTAGAAACAGTTTCAGTAAAAATATGACATTATCTGATAGGAGGTACTTCCAACTACATGTATATATATTTATATTTATATTTTGAGCTTTACATTAAGACATAAGACCTCCAAAAACAAAGTGGTATGTCGCTTTTGGTGCCTTTACTCTATTGGCGATGAAAAATAGGTTTTACGATAAAAGTAGATTTTGTACGATAACCCTGAACAAAAAAAATCGTGCATTGACCCCAGACAACTATCGACCGCGATAATATATAAACCCAATATCTATGCAAAAAAGTTTTATTGTCTATTTAGTGGGATATGAAGGGCGTACTATATTATAAATTGCTGCAAACTAGCCAAATAATTAATACTGAATATTACCAACAACAACTCATTCATTCAAGCGACGAAATAGAGAGGAAAAGATCGTTTACTAGCCATGGAGCGCGGCAAGTCATCTTTCAGCACAATAACGTTCGGTCGCGTGTCGCAAAAGAAACGAAAGACATTACTTATTCGTTGGGTTGGAGTATTCTCTCATGTGACTTATTTATTGAACCTAGCCTCTTTGGATTGCCATTTCGATTATCTATTTCGATCGCTCCAACACCACTTGGCTGATATACATTTTAAAAGTTTGGAAGAAACCGAAAATGCGTCAATTTCATCGACTCAACGCCACAGTCTTTTTTTCGAAAGGGAACTCATCAGCTGATAGATGAAGAAAAGTATTGGAAAATAATGGCGAATATTTTGAACACTGTCATGTTTTTGTCATTATTTTTTGTAAATAAATATAAAATTTCTTAAAAAAAATACTGAATTAATTTGCGCATCTAATAGATATGTAACAATCTGTGCAAAAACTCTCTCGCCGTGCGAGACCAACATCTAAACTCCGCGGAGAAAACCAAAAGCGCGCAAAAAAACGCGGCTGAAAAACATTCGAATCCGAACATCGGCGAACAGATCCGAGCAACTTGGAAAAATTCGCATAAAAGCCGTCGCGAACAATCCTACGATCCGCAGTTCTTCCGCAACTTCTCGCTGATAAGAATGATATTTCGCAGCCAAGGAAATCGCTCCGGAACGAACTGTCCGTTGTGTATACGCAGCGCTCTCCGAATCCGCTCGTCGAATCGTGGTTACACGACTCCGACATCAAATAACGCTCCAGATCGTGGATACGCGATCCGGATCATCCTTAATCCGCCGCGAATTCGACATCACTTCTCGCAGATCCGAAATCGTGGATACGCGATCGGGATCGCCCCTCGTCTGCACATCGAGTCGTGGATACGCGACTTCGATAATACACATATCTCCGATCGTCCAATCGTGGATACACGATCAGGATCCTCCGTCATTGTAAGGCGACCATCGTAAACGTGTCCGTAATTACGGTGATTAAATCACCGCTAAGCACGAACCATTTAAGGGGATCCCTGCTTAAAATGTTGAATAGAAAATGATAGAAAATTTGTCTATTATATTTTATGGTGATTTTGATTCACATATTTCACAACTCATTTACGAAATTTCGTAAGTGAATTTATATACCATGTATTGTCTATAATTGATAAATATAAACTGATTATACCAACTTTTATATTCAACATGATGGAAAAAAATAATGTCATAAGATATGATTAAACTATATAGATATTTTTTTCATTTTTATCTGACTATTTTGTAACCATCATTATAAGTAGAATTATTTTGAAAGAATATTATAAGTAGTTTATTATAAAATAATAATAAATACATAATGAGATATTTACTATGATTCAGAAATATCAATTTATTATACAAACATCAATATTCAAGATAATTGAAAAGAATAATATCATAAAATATGATTAAGATATATAGAAAGTCTATGTTGTACGGCTTTGGTACATGATAAGTCGTATAAATCAATATAGGAATTCTATCCATTTCAATCTTATCCAATTATTTTCTATCAAATATTTTAAGCAGGCATGCTGAAGTTGAAAACTTTACTGACAGAACACTGACATTTTTCTACGAAGAATTTTGATCATTTTTACGGAAGTTATGAGCGAATTAAAATTCGCGCTGGATAAAATTTAAGGATAACTTCGTGATATTTAGAGTTTTAATGTGTAGAGTTCTAGAGTTAATCAAGTAAGTTAGCATTACGTTTGTTAAGGTTCGAAGTTACTTTTTCTATAACTTCTAACTTTTTTACTTTTGTAATTATTTGGTAAGGACATTAATTTTTTTAAATATAATTGTAACAACAGCAGAATTATATTTTTCAGGTAATACTAATAAATATAATTGAAACTTTTGTGGATAGTTTGTAAATATATGTATATAAAGCAAAAGTGGCACCAAACCATCAAAAAAAGAATCTTCAAAACTTGATGAAGACAATAACTGAGTTACAGTAACTTAGTACTTCTTGTAATAAGTTATCACCTCTTGAATAGCAATAACGGTAATGAGTAATTTTTCAAGATTAATAATAAATTTTTTTCCATACGTATAGTGAGTAATAATTAGATAATGCTGTTAAAATCTTTTATGTCGTATTGCACAGAATTACAAATGCTTTTACGTAATGAAAGTATGTGCAAAAATAAATAGGAACATTGCTCGATATATGACGAAAATAAACAATAAAATTTAATGTAAAATCTCAGCTAACATAATATTTATCTAATCCAAAAGTTCCGCAGCTTGTACATACTGAAAGTGTGGATGCTCCAAACAGAAAAATTTTGAAGAACATTGCTCTACCTTCGCATCTGCATTTAGAAGCTAAGAATATCGAAAAAGTTTGCAGAAAGATTTCTATACAAACATGATTAGGTTTTCCGTTAAATATGGTAAAACAAAGCAACACACATTCATGTAAGTTCTGTATATACAAGAAATATGAAAAGGATGGTGTGATTATGTTAGTTAGATGATCGTCTCTGTATTATCAACATTGTTCAAGTTCATCATCGATTCCAGCATCCTCTTAAACCGTGCAAAACCGTTTAAAATCCGGCGACATAATATCACGCGCAATATAAACATGTGCGCCGAAAAACCGCCGCGAAGAACCCAAACATTCGACCGCTCCTCGGGGAAAATAATGCAAATAGGCGTTAATAAATAACACCCAGCCACAACTCTATTTTATTTATCAAGCCTACTTCTAAAAATCCGGATCGATCGACAAGCTTATCCTGTGCATGTTTATGTTCATATCTGGATACTAATTTTTGATAATAGTATTCAGCGTTGGGAATTAAGGGGACTGGAGGGTTAGATTACTTGAAAATCGTGCTTGTTCTTTCACAATTTTTTATGACAAACTGAATGAATATACAAAAGTGTTATTTTGACGTGTATTTATACAACATATATAGAGAAGAAAAATATAATTTTGATGATTAAATACTCAATATAAGTGTATGGTACATGCAGTTAAAATATATTTCGTTTTTCTTTTCAAGGTCGTCATTTTGCAGTAATATCTTGACTCTCGGTTTAATTAAGCTAAATTTTAGGTAGAAAATTTCCGTAAGTTTGTCGTTATTGTGTGAACCACTGACAAACTCGTAAAAATATTTAATTTTTAAATATTAATTTTTTTACTATAAAAGAACTGAAAATTTAATAATATTCCATTATTCCAAAATATTTGCAATTTTATTAACTTTTACTCAATTATAGTGGTTCACACGATAACGACAAGCTAACGGAATTTTTCTACCTAAAATTCAACTTAATTGAACCATCGAGAGTCAAGATATTACTGCAAAATGACGACTTTGAAAAGAAAAACGAAATATATTTTAATATACAAATAATAATAAAAGCTCTATAGAACAAATCTATGAAAGGACTGAAACGGACATAAAGAGTTAAGTTACGATTGTTAGGAGTTTAATAAAAATTAATAAATACAAATTGAATATACATTTCGACCATTGGATGTGGTCCTCTTCAGTATAGAAATTCAAATAATCTTCACATAGTATAACTGAAATAAAGAAGTTGTGTTCGTGACGCACATCACACTCCAATCCTTACATCAATGTTTGTCGACAAAGATGTATCGGAAAAGAGCTAACCGGATCCAACCGATTGTGTCCAAAAATATGAAATATATTTTAACTGCATTATATATTTTAAAATATAAAATATATTTTAATTGCATGTACATACACTTATATTGAGTATTTGATCATCAAAATTATATTTTTCTTCTCTTTATATGCTGTATAAATACACGTCAAAATAACACTTTCCCATATTCATTCAGTTTGTCATAAAAAATTGTGAAAAAACAAGCAGAGATTTTCAGGCAATCTGACCCTTCAGTCCCCTTAACGCCTTACTAGAATAACGTTGCTTTTTTCTAGTAACGACTTGTTGACGATGTTATTTTTCTTTTTCAGTAGTAATGGTCCTGATAACTTTATTACATTTTTTTTATTTAACGGGAATAAGAGAATATAATCGTCACTTTTATTACTTTGCATATAATAATCAATAGAAGAAGGGTACACGATAAATCAATAAAAGAAAGGTCTTCAGAACTTGATAATTCAGAAAGTAATAGAAATTGCAACGACTTGTTACCTTTTGTGAATAGTGTTCAATAAACATCAAATAAGTTACACCAATGTTACATCAATGTTATAATTTCTTACTCAACAATGTAAGTGTAATATAACGTATTTTGCATTGATATTTGTATTGATCTAATGTTATTGATGGTTGTTCGTTTATTAGGTAATGAATTATTATCGAAGTAAACAGTAAAAATAGCAGTAATAAACTATTTTTGAAAGTGAGTAATAGTTGAGCATAAAGGAATATATATTATATTATATACAGGGTGTCCCAGAGCAACTTTCGAAGTTCTCGTAAAGACATAGTACGGATTGAAGTAAACATAAAAATCCTATGCCATTTTGTGATATTTACAATAATTATCGAGATATTAATTAATGAAGGTTAGTGAATGACGTAAAATATGGTAGATGAACTGTATATCGTGTGTTAAATCAAACTGAAAAAGTCCTCTACCATTTTTCTAATAACTTTGTAGATTTTTAATTATTAATTAAAGAAAATTGGCGGATGATCGCTTGCAATAATATATTAATGTTCTAATTGATAATTCAAATATATTGAAGCGTTTTTCGCAATGCTGAATTCTTGTTACCACGGCGCAACTTGATTCATATGTGTTGCTTGTGATTGTCAAATTATTATATAATTTTGAGCTTTTATGAGTTAAAGAAGACAAAGAAAAGGGAGAGAGACATATAAAAGAGAGAGGAAGGGAAAGAGGAGAAAGGGATACGTTTTCACTGTTATAATTAGAGTTACTTATCCTATTTCTCCTATTTCTGATCTTATATATGCAAGATTAATGTCCTTCCCAAATAAGTGACTTGTAATTTTAACAGCACTATCTAATTATTACTCCCTATACGTATGGAAAAAAAACTTACTATTACCATTATTAATCTTGAAAAATTACTCATTACCGAGAAAGTGGTTATTGCTATTCAAGAGGTGATAACTTATTATAAGAAGTACTAAGTTATTGTAACTCAGTTATTGTTTTATCATGTACTATCTTCAGCAAGTTTTGCAGATCCTTTCTTTGATGGTTTGGTGCCGCTTTTGTTTCATGTATATATATTTACAAATTATCCACAAAAGTTTCAATTTATTAGTATTTGTTAGTACCTGAGAAATATAATTCTGCTGTTGTTACAATTATATTTAAAAAGATTAATGTCCTTACCATATAATTACAGAAGTTAGAAGTTATAGAAGAAGTAACTTCTTGACCTTAATGAGCGTAATGCTAACTTTCTGGATTAACTCTAGAACTCTAAACATCACCCCTAAACATGGGTAAATTTTATTCAGCGCATATTTAATTCACTCATTCACAACTTCCGTAAAAATAATCAAAATTTAATGCTTCTTTTTTACTATTAATGTTTCTGTGATTCAATAAAGTTGAAAAAAATCGAAGAAACAAAATATATGTTTTTAAGAACATTTAAAAAGCTGATTTGGATTGTAACATTTAAAAAGCTGATTTGGATAAATTTTATTCGAGTTTATAGGGTTCTATGATCAATCAGATAATCAGTTGAAATAATGGTAATATAACATATAAGTGCCAATTCTTTTTACAGAGAAAAATCTTGTAGAAAAAATTTTATTGATTCTTTAACGAACAGAAGTCTACTTCTGAGAAACTACTTGTTGAACACAAGAAGAAAATTAAACAAAGTTAGTTTCAAAACAGAATATATTGCAGCTTGGAACATTATTGAATGTATTATGAAAGGAATTACAAATGAACAAAGAATAAGACAAATAAGAGCCAACTGCCGATCTTACTGGCGAAAATCACAAATTAATAAAAGCTTATGATATATTTATTTAAATACAAGAATTCAGACGTTTTAGTCCCAGTTTCAGACCCTCTTCAGTGATAATTACAAAATATAGTTTCGAAAATATAGTTACAAAAAAATTCGCATAAGTCGCAATAGAAGAACTTATAAACCACGCAACAGCAAACCAAGTCAAGCAAAGATAATATTGAGTCTAACAGATTGACTGCGGCCTTTGATAAGAAAAATTTTAATAAAAATTACTACTTGTTTATTACAAGTATTTGTAAATTATTTAATAATTTGTAAATTACAAGTGAGTTTATAAAATTAGGAAATACCTATTATATAAGATGAGAACTGATAAAACTGTTTCACAGGAAATGGACGCGAAATGGAGCGCGCACAAAAAGTGATAATAACTATTAATACGAGCATATTAGACGTCTTTCAAAAGTGTGCGCTGTCCGAGAGTCAATCAATTCGATGACCTCTATTCGACCATACCTCGTTCTCCGAGTATACGTACTGAACAGCTTTGAAGACGAGCTGGTAACGCGCCGTCGACGGTGGACACGCGCGGAAGATCCCTCGAGTCCTCCAAAGCCCCGTCTTGCTTCTTCGTCGCGAGGATCGCGTCGTCGTTTGAATCCACTGTGGATTTCGGCTCCGTCACCGACATACCGAAGATCTTCCCCAGTGGAAGCCGATCGAGCTTCTGACCGGTCGCCACCTTGGCCATTTTAAGGGCGATCGCGTCCTCGGCCGCCTGTTGTCTCTTCAGGGCAACCTCGCCGAGCAGAACGGAATTCGATCGATTCGCGGTCGAGCAAACGAATTGTGAAATACATAAAAGAAAAAAAAAAAAAAGGAAACAAAAACGGAAATAACAGAACAAGAGGAAACAACGACTAACTACACGGAGGGGAATCGGCGGGCAGAGAGGCGGAAAATCGAGGATATTGAAAGGAAATGCAGCCGCGCGCGATACATCGACTCGATTCGGATTCCTGTGTGGGCTGCTATAATTAATATCGGCGCAACACACATACAAGTATCCTTGTACATAGCGCGGCAATCGGATCGTGATGGATCGTGACTGCGGTCGACTTATAAATGGATCCGTCGCTTATATATGGGCGCATTTGCCGCGCGGCGTGTTATTCCAAGCTCCGGACCACCCGCGATAATCTTTTCACGTCGTTGCTGCCGAGAGGGAATCCTAGTGGCCGCTGCTTCTTCATCCCGTCCGCTGTGATCGCATTCGATCACCGCACCCGAAAGTGAGTAACTATCCGGTTTCATGCGGGTCAATATATCGCCACATGTGCGTTTCTTATTACTTGTTACAATAGCATTTGCTACAGAGAGCGAAAGAGAGAGAGAGAGAGAGAGAGGGAGAAAGGGAGCGGAGAGAGTGTCTTGTCGAAATACAGAATTTCTTTTAACGAGAGAGAATCTTGTGGATAATGGCTTTCGCGTAAAATCTGTCGAGTTTTCTCAGTCGATTCGTCAGAATCAATCATATTAATAGTGTGTAATTAATGTCATTTTTAATATATGTTTACGATACATAACGTCGTTTTTTATAATTATGAGAAAGTTTATATATATTATATATATTATATATATTATATATATTATGTAGTTACATGTACAGTAATTACCAGGGTTGGAAAATAACTCGTTACTTGTAATGAAGTTACAGTTACAGTTACATTTTTTCGGTAACTGTAACTTAACTTAGTTACTTTTTTCCCACCTGTAACTGTAATTTAACTTATTTTTAGTAACTTGTAACTTTTTTAACAGTTACTTTAACAGTTACTTGAGGAACATAAAATTAAATTAAAATTATACAGTAATCTTATATTAATTTAATAACCTAAATAACACAGAGAATTAAAAAAGAATCCAATCGTACGTCACCAATTCTGAATTCATTTTTAGATGCAAAAAGAATTGTTCAGAGTTTAATTCAGTGAAAAGAATTCTTTTTGCAGTTAAAAATAAACTCAGAATTGATGACATACGACTGAATTCTCTTTAAATTCTCTGTGCTATCTGGGAAATTTACAAATATATTTGTGGAGCATGTAATTAAATTCTTTTATCTCTACAAGGCTATCATTACATTTTTATTATATTAAGTACAAATTTGAAATTTGTTAAGTGGATTGACTAATTACTGTAATAGATATTAATTATAAAATTCAATTCTTACATTTTAGTAAAGCTTAAAATGTAAGATTTTTATTTACAATAATAATTTACAATCATTTCAAGAAAGTAACTTAAAAGTAACGACTCGTTACTTTTTGAATAATTGTAACTGTAACGAGTTACTTTTTATAGCCAGTAACTTGTAACTGTAACTAATTACATTTTCAGCAAAGGGAACTGTAACTAGTTACTTTTAAAAAGTAACTTTCCCAACTCTGGTAATTACCTAGTTTATGTGTACAGTCTTTCCTCTGCTTATTCCTTCAAATATATTACATTACAATTACATCAACAGTGTACAGTTAATGTTATTTTTAAAGGCATGCTGATAATTCTACACAACAGTTGACATTTTAATTACAGAAAAGTCTATATAATTCGTCCTATCTTTCTCGCCTATTTCTCCAAACCGATTAATTATATTAACAATATAATTAATGTTAATCTTAACGTATGTATTGTTGATGCTACATACAACAATTGACACTTCAATTGCAAGAAACTTATATCATTTGTCGAATTTTTTTTCCTTTTATTTCTTTAAATTTAATTAATTACATTAGCAGTATATAATTAATATTACTTTTAATGTATATATAATATTATATCAATATATATATATATATATAAATATATATATATATATAAATATTATATCAATAATATTATATCAATATATTATAAAACAATTGTCACTTCACCTACGAGAAATTCTGTACAATTGTTCGCGTTTTTCTCGCCTATTTCTCGGAATTTAGCAATCACACTAACGATATGCAATTAATGTTATTTTTAAAGACATGCTGATAATGCTACACAACAGTTGACATGTTCATTATAGAAAAGTCTATATAATTCGTCCTATCTTTCTCCCCTGTTTCTCCAAACCAATTAATTACATTAACATTGTATAATTCATGTTAATTTGAACGCATGTGTGTCGATAATGCTACACACAATGTAAAGCTTCTGTACATTTTTTTCGCGTGTTTTTTCGTTCTGTTCAATTTTTCACGTTTTTCTTGCCTATCCCTTATAGAAATGTAATACTGATAAGTAATAATTTGGCCAGTGATAATTACTGTCGTTCAATAATTTTATTACTCGAGTAATAAAATTATTGAACGACAGTAATTATCACTGGCCAAATTATTACTTATCAGTATTACATTTCTATAAGGGATTTCTCGGAATCTAACAATCACATTAACTGTGTGCAATTAATGTTATCTTTAGTGCGCTTGAAAAGCTACCGTATAAAAGTCGGCATTTTAATTACGTAAAAGTTTACATCGCGCTGTGGATTTTTCGTGTGTGTTTGCACGGAACGTTTGGCGAACCGGCTACCAGTAATCCCGATAATACTCGCCGAGTGATACCACCGCGTTTCGCGTTTATCGCTACGAATTACGGGGTAAAGATTTTCGCGGAGAACCGCGATTGCTCGCGGCTACGTTGGCAATTATTGCTATGGACGATCTCGAGCGTGCATTGTTTAACCGCAACCGCGCGAGCTCTCGTCTCTCTCGTCTCTCTCTCTCTCTCTCTCTCTCTCTCTCTCTCCTCCTCTCTTCCTCTTTTTCTTTCCTTCTCCCGATTATTTTCGTTCGAAGGGATAGGTAGGTAGATAGGTAGATAGGTCGGTGGAGTAACGCGTCGCGCTTACCGGATCGAAAGTCTCGCTGCAAACAAAGTATCGAGTATCATAATGCCTATGCAAACAGAAACGAAACGCTATACCGGGCGTTAATGGATTTAATTTACCGCCCCTCTGTTGCCTCCCGTCCCGTCGGACGGGAGAGGGCTGAGTGGCCGTATCGTGGAGATGTGCTATGCATACGGCGATCATATTGCTCCGGCCCCGAATACAAGATATCGACGATGGCTCTGTCCGGGTCTGTTTGTTCGAACGCGATTGTAATGCGGAACTCGACAGAGCGGAGTTGAAACAAGTTAGCATTGCACATGCGAGAACATTTGTTGAAATTCAAGAAGTTATTAGATGGAATATTGAGATAGTGCGGAAATAAACGCTTGTTTTCTCTCTGCCGCCATGGACTGGCGATTAGTGAGAAAATGAGCAGTTTGGCAGCGACGGATGAAAAGACATTTCCACTCGTACGTGACAATTCGGAATTTTTCGAAAACCTTCGCGGGGAGAATGTTATAGGTTTCTCTCATATATAAAATTCTTTTCTATTTTATCGTGTTTTCTAACAGCGCAGGAATATATTGTCGATAGAGCTTATCTTACTGAGGAACACAATGTGTGTCCATTAATAGTAAACTTCGCAGTTCCTGAAATGTAGATTGCGCATCTCTGATAGGAATGTATGCAGTTTGTGCAGACACCTGCCGAGTTATTGTCTAGTATCGATGCATTCTCATTAGTTTTAAAAATACCACGTAAGAACTGGATAGGACTTTGATAGAGTTTTATCTAGCTGTTGGAGCAGTTTACTGTACAATATGTGACCCGACTTTTCCCGAGACATAGTATCAGTAATATCAATTCAGTTTTATAATGTACGCATATTATATCGCGAATAAATTTAAGATATATTTATTTACTTTGTTAAAAAGAAGCTGAAAATTACGTGAACGATGAATGAACGTATATAAAAAGCGTAGGACAAGAAAAAGGAAATTAGAGAAAGTAAAGTATTTAACAAAATTAAGCAAATAAATGGAGTAATAAAATAATAATAATAATAACACAGAATTTAATTGCGATAAGAATACACACTAGATTATTCTAATGGTAATGATACAAATAAAAATTGATAGCTTATACTTAGAACCTGATGAAATAATACAATTAAATGGATAAAAAGTGACAACCTCCCATCTGACGCCTAGTACACTTCCTCGAGATCGCTGTTTGGTGGCGGAAATATATATTATACAGTAATATATATATATATATATATATTAGGTGGTAAACTTAGTTCCCGCGGTTTTTTTGTTTAAAAAACTCATTTATTTCGACATTAAAAGCAAAAAATACATTAATCGAAGTATTTTCCCTCGCTAGCTATACATTTTTCCCATCTTTCGGGCAACGCGTAGATTCCGCGACGATAGAACGATTGGTCTTTTGATGCAATCCATTCGTCGATCCATTTTCGCACATCCTCGTAATTTCTGAAGTGTGTATCCACCAAGCCGTGCTGCATCGACCGGAACAAGTAATAGTTCGAAGGAGCTAAGTCTGGTGAATACGCTGGGTGCGGGAGAACTTCCCACTCGAGCTGCATCAGTGTTTCTTTGACGGCTTTGGCAACGTGTGGTCGAGCGTTGTCGTGCAAAAGCATGACTTTACGTCGATTGCTGGCTACTGCTGGCCTTTTTTCCAACAATGCTTCATTCAGACGGTTTAAT